GTAAACAATATACAAACAGCATCTAAAATAGTAACAAAAGAGACTAATATTGAAATATAACAGGCATTTTTTTCTATCAAATTAAGAAAAAAGGTTTCTTTTGATGCCTTGGACATAAGAGACGGTAGCTTTATAATTTAAGTCTCAGATAAATACTGAAAGAAGAACACACACAGGAATAAAAGAGTTGGGATGAGTTTCGAAAAGACCTAATTCAGGAATTTTTTGTTATACGCGTTAACTAAAATATATAAAGATACATTTAAAATCGTGAATAAATTTGCATGGCATGTTGATATATTGAAACATTATTTATCAATGGAAGACTGTTACCTGTATTTGAGACAGGTATCATAGGATATGAGGAAATTCGCTAACATCAAGTTCATGCGAGTCAAAGATATAAAAGCTATTTGAAATAGGTTATAAATAAAGAGCTATTGTTAATCGATTTATTGGAAGATGAATCTCTGTTTTGTTGAATTGCTCTGACACACCAGTGTGTTTACATTCCTATCAATAAAGACATAACACCTCGACGAAAGTTTCTGTTGTTAAAATACATGTCGCAGTATTCGGCAAATCGACATTCCACTCAACCACCATAAAACCGATTGTCTTCAAACAAAAGGACTAAACTTCACTGCGGTATACCGTACCCCGGATATTGCTCGATATTATGAGGACTTTCATCCCATTTCGCGACTTTGAACGAGGAAAGAAGGTAAGTTCAGTGATGATATTTAGTCATTTTGAATTGGTTTGATATAAATTTCATAGAAAAATAAATACTTCGATAATTTCTCTAGTTACTGAAAACTCACAAATGTTGAAAAATAGCTTTGAAATGTAATTTGGAGGTAAAATTCGTCTCTTTGCTCACGTGATAAATGAGCTCGGATCAGTCAAACTTGATGTTTTTGTGCATATACTTCCTTAAAAGAAAAACTTGAATCGAGTGAAATGTGATAATGATGATAATGTTTATGTTGTAAATGTTCAATCGAAAATAGAACCTCAGGTGACAGAGCATTTTGAGAACAAATACACATGTCAGTGTACCGAGTATTGCGTTGGATTTGCCCGCCGGTGTCACGAGTATTGTTTTTTAGTGTAACGAGTATTGGTTATCAATATAGAGTAAATGCAAGTAGTAAACACAGAGTATTTAGTACATTTAATTTCAAATCTTTCTTATTGCGTATACTTATGTACACTATATGTGCAGAATATGCAAAGTTCGGAGGTACTTTACTGGAAACATCTGCAAATAATCCAGATTTTTATTCCTGCTCATGAAAAATCTCAGTCGAACGAACTCAGCAATTTTCTGTGTTTACAAAGTTCTCGTTGCTATTTAAGGATCAACCTTTCCAGAATTTGTTAATAATTATTGCATATTTTACTTTAATTAGTAAAAAAAATGCATCCAAAGTCCATTAATGCTGCCTCAAGATTGTCAATATTAGACGGTATTGAGCAAGTGTGCCAATATCTAATATCAAACGACTTCCTACTTTGCTAAAAATCCATATAAAGGTAACTTTCGGTCATATTGCACCTGCACTCTAGGAACGGCAGACCGTCTGCACGTGAAATTTGTCATTAGCCATGAATTACCGTATGACTGCCGAGCGGGTACAGCTCAAAAAACCTAATGATGGATTTTGATAAGATTATGATAACGGACAGCAGATGCAATAAAAAGGATATGTTCCTTATAACCTTTTTTCCTTATAAAGGCATGTTTTGAAGGCGTTACACCCAACCTCTTTTGAGGTCTCAAATAGTGTAAAACATGCGCTATTTAGGCCCCAAACACTGTTTCATTGTTTGAGAAATGTTGTTCAAAAGAGTGATCATTTTTCCGGCGCCACCCCACCCCATTCAAAAGGTACATCAAGGGGGTACTACAGGGATGTGTGCCCCATTCTGTTTGGGGGTTTGAAGTGGGCCAGTAGCCCCTCTTAACGCAGAGCAGTTTTGGGACTTGTGAGGGGGGGGTGCTAAAATGGCCTCAGGCCGTTTTAAAGGTACCGTGTAATCAACGCTGAAAAGCCTTAGACTTTATCTCAAACAATTGAGAATTTGCAGCACCTTGAAATCCGTTTTGATGGGTAAAAACAACGCAAAATAGTGATTTTCGGCAATTTTGAGACGTTCCCCGTTGCCATGGTAACTGGAGATTTGAGCATGCTATTCCACAAGCTATGGTCCAGCCAACATTTGTGCCCAGTTTGATCAGTATTTAAGCATTTTTATAGCTTCATAGCAGTTTGAACTTGTAACAGGAGGCTTAATTCAATGAAAACAGCCATTGATCACAGTTTCTTGAGACATGTATTTAAAGATTTTTATCGTCAATTTTGATGGTTCTACCCTGCTCCCGACCTTGCTTCCGACCCTACACACACTTTAACTTTATTTCATCCAAAGTGTAATTTTCACTTAAATGGGAAATTAAATCTGTATTTGCCGTAGAAAAAGAACAGTAATAACACTTAAAATGCATTGTTGAATCAGAAATATTTGAATAAATATCATATAAACAGTTCATTATCAGCAAAATAAAATGGAATCAATAAACAGATGTAAACATTAGGCAAAAATATCGATTTTCCATACTAATGTGCTCATTCTGTTTTGCAATACACTGTACACTAAAGTTGGGCTATTTTGCAATACTCTGTACACTTAAAATCAAAACTCGGTACACTTTCTCGGCCTGTATCTTTTTGTACTTTCACACGTTTTGCTGAAATTTGGACGAAGCATACTTGGATTGTGAATAAAAAAAAATGCTCGATTCATTTTTTTTTTATATTGGTAATATAATAATTTCTAACGATTCTAAAGTATCGCGGTCAGTATTTTCTAGTGAGCAGCGGATCGTTTAGGGGTAATTTAATCAATTTTATAAATACCTGTAATACTTTTATGTATTTTAGAGCTACAAAAATACCTCTAGATATATAAAACCCGTTGAGATAAATGAAATAGCCATTAGTTTGGAAAATATCGTCGCTGAACTTACCTTCGTTCCCCGTTCAAAGGAAAGTCCTCATAATATCGAGCAATATCCGGGGTACGGTATACCGCGGTGAACTTGTAATAGCAAAAATTCTGGACACCATTTCGATTTAAATAATGAGGGTAGCTATTAATTTACTTAAATTTTTTTTGATAAGTTACAAAGGGTGCACTTTATGGTTTAATATGTTTCCATTACATTCTGCAAAACTCTTCAATTCGTTCAATTACCATAGCGGTTATTTAAACTAAGTGTTCATCCGTGCTGTTCTACAGAAATTAGAAACTTCGACGGGAGCGATAGCGACAAGAGAATGTTTCTATTTTCTGTAGAACAGCTACGGATGAATACTTACATATTTAGTGTCAATCTTTATTAGGCCTCATAATCACTCACTTTATTAATTCACTATGCCGTTCTATGACGTACTATGAAAAATAGAAGTCGACTATGAACGGAATTCGATATAGTATCGACTTCTGTTCTTCTATAAAGATAAACGCACAGGATTTTTAACAAATACAGCGTTTTCATTGGATGACAAATAAAGTTGGACACTAATGTTGCATTTAAGACGGCCCTTTCTGTGCAACTTCTGATATGGACCTCGAAACCTGGAGTAAGAATACACAGAACTGATACGGTATTTCGGTCTAACCTACGCTAAGAAACAAAACATGTAAAGAAATAGTAATCTTATGTTAGGAGTTTATCTCAATCAACCTAAATTAAGTAAATGTTCAGATATTAAAGTAAATAAACAATACATTATTTATATACTTATGTTTTATGGTTGTAGAAAGTGTAAGTACAAAATGTATACCTGTTGACATTTATTCGTATTTGTTTACTATTGTATATCACTGGGCTTTTTAAAATTGATTAAGATTAAGATTTTCTTAAAAGTCTATTTTTTCAAACCTACAATTTACAGAGCATAGATCTTAGCATGTAATATCACCTGTTGGCCTTTATACGCGTAATAAATATGTCATATTTGAACAAATAGTGCACTAAATGTGAATGTATGTGTGGGTATTAATGTTACTGATGTAGAAAGAAGTAATAAAAAAGAAAATTATTTGTAAAAGGAACTTTCGCGCGTTTGCGCGCGCATGTGTGTGTTTGGAGGGGGAGGCTAACATTTTGTGCTTTTGAAAGTTTTTTTTTACGTTGTCATATGACCTTGACGGTGTTGTTGCAACATAAAACCTCCCCTTCCCCGAAAAAAAATATAACAAACAAACACATTTTCATAAGCATAAATAGGTTTTTTTCTGATAATCTATTTTTTTATAATGTGAGAAGAGCTTAGTTGACTGTCATGTTCAATACAACTTGTAACGGAACGTCGGTGGTTCTACTCAAGTGCACATAAGGTCCTTCAACCATCATTAAAACTGGAAAGTCGCCATATGATCTATACTGTGTTGGTGCGACGTAAAACCTACCAAAAAAAAAAAAAAAAAAAAAAATCCAAAAAAACAACAACATGGACGTACACATATGAATCATGGCGTTACTGCGGGAATCTACTGACAAGGATGGTGGCAATAAAAGCAGATAAATAATGAGATAGCATGCACTGGCATTTTGATATTTGGCAATAATCACTTTATACAAATATCAATTAGCGGAAACGAATTAATTATAGGGATAGGCAATGTGATATTTTGCGAAATTTATTCAACAGGATATTAGGAATGTTTCATAAAAGAGACCCTTTTATCTGTTACATTTGTATATTTTTTAACATCACAATTACCAAATTGGACAAACAATACAATCCAAATACAACATAACAAAATGTCATATAGATATGGAATTATTATACACATTACAAAACAAACGAAAACGCCAATGCTTGTAATGGAAAACAATTGATCAATGAATACATAAATATAAATGTTTATGTATGGAAATACCAAACATTGACATTTAATGATTGGCGAATATAGAGACTCAATATCTCTTCTCAGATGAGTTTGTTTCAGCTCTAGCTACTAGCAGGAAGCAGAGAAACAAATCACTCCGCGGATTTTTTTCGTTTTCCAAATATTTTTTATTTTATCTTTTTTTAATTGTTTTTACAAGAACTTTTACTATGCATTGAGTGTTGTGGAATTAATATTCATTCAATCATCATGGATGGTCCAAGGTGGATCATCATCTTAATTTGTGTCAACTATTTAAATACAGGTTAGTAATTAAACCTTTTATTCAGCATGTTACATGATATAATTTCTTATAAGCTGGATGTTGTTTTCTTCTTTACACTGAAATCGCTCACGTTTTGACATAACATAGGTTGTAATGATCTTTATCAAAACATATATATTATTTGATAGTTCTTGAAGTAAGGTATTTGGTAAAAGAATGTTTTGTTAAATCTAATCATAAAAAGAAGAAGAAAAAAACGTAAAAGTAAAGAAAAACTCGTCAGTAAAATTTTATATTTGATAATTCATTTTATAATAATTAAAGTTTGCAGTAATCAAAATATTAAAAGTACAAATGTACAGACGGAATGGCTATCTGTTGTTATTACATCATTTAATGCTATTAATTTTTATTGCTATGAGCCTCATTATATATGGGCAGTTAATACAGTCTGCATTGCTTTAAAGGAATGAAAGGGATTGTCGAAAAATATTGTGACATTGATATAAGTATGGTCATATAAAGCAGCACACCTTTAGAGGGTAAAATGTAAATAAAAATGAACATTAAATACTGGTATTTTGGTTTAACATGAAAATTCTTTCTTGCAGATTTCTTCATTTATTTAAAAAATAAAACCTGAATTTTTATCTTATCGTAATACATGTATACTGCATCGAAAAATCCCGGCATTCAGTGCTTTTTCAACCACTGTCACATGGTACCTGAATCTACAAAAGAATTGCATAAGTAATATCAAAACGAAAATGTCAAACCGTTTTTAAGTCATATTATTATGTACTTTGAAAAAGATTTTGAAATATAAGTACCACGGTCTTCTGAATGCGTGCTGCTTTTAATGAATTCATAATTTCTCTAACAAATGTAATTTAAACCCTACATACCTTTTTTGAAAATTAAAATTGTTTGTTTTTGGTTTCTTTCGAAAAGGGATGTGCGCAGTTCGTAAAATATTTAGTTATGTCTACGGGAATAATTAGATTTGATATTGATTTTAATATAACATTAAAACTCCACCGAGGTGTAAAAGCCTTGAAATATAAAATTTGAAGTTGTAACATAAACCTGCCGGTATACTAAAACAGAAAGAAATGCATAGAATAATCAAGAAATATACTCATAAAAGAATCTCAAATATTATGCTATTATTTGCCTTATTAAGGTGAAAAGCGTTGCATGGCTATTCAATTTTGGGTCAGTTTTCACAATTAGAATAATTATTCTGAAGAAAATAGAGAGAGCGAATGATCTGAAATTTTGGACTCAAGTTATTGGTCTACAGTTACATCAAATTGAACATCAATTCCGAAAAAAATATTTTCGGTCCCGTCATGTCAAATAATTATTTGTTCATTTCTTTCGCGCTGTTATGATATAATCCAGGATACAGAAACGCAGAAATAATACATATAAATTGCTGTAGACTGAAACAATATCATGTAATACACAGTATAAAGAATAATTATATAAAAGTACGCCGGCGCTGATAATTCAGACCGAACATAATCAACAAGTTCAACATATCACATATTAGCTTGAACAGAGGATGAAAGGCTTATAATTGCAAAGTTTATAGAAGTAGAAAATATAATAATGAAGTTAATGATAATGTTATAAGAATCTTGCACTGGCTGCAAAAGTAGGAATCAAACACCAGCTGTCAATAAGACCGATGTCGCGTTATTATCACACGAGTGTGATTATATCGCGGCGGCGTAAGAATCACAAGCTGTAATCAATAATATAAGGTAAGATACTTGGTATGGTTAACCTCGTAGACTTCATAATTGGAGCTTAATTGGAGTGAGGAGGACTGAATCACTTTTAAAGCATGTGGATTTACCGAAAAAGTGCACCATAAAGTATTAAGTACAAACTATGCTATATATCAAATAAAATGCCCAATATCTTCATTTTTACTATAAAAAATAAATAAATTTCTTTAAAATTTAATGTAATCTATGAATTCAGTTTATACTATCTTTTTGCACAGACTTTTATTACAATATGTGCTTTTTGTGATACCATACACTGTGCCAGTTATCTTTCTGGAACCTCTTCTCCAAATAAACAAATGAAGTAATTGAAGACCAGGGTCTTGAGTGTACTTTCTTACTAATTGGGGGATCTGAATATCACAGTGTCTTCACGGTTCTCCCTGTCTTGACCTCCGGTCCGCTTCTGTCTTGGTACAGACCACCCTATCTCATGGTCTGCAAGTTCCAACATGTATGACCAGTTGGGACTGTTTAATGTCACCGAGGAGGACTCCACATAATGTTTTGACAATCCATAAATCTTTTTACAATCCAATAACGAAAAATGTTTGTCTTATTATTTTAATAATCTTAATAAAATCCTTTCAAGCTATCATCATCATGCAAAATAAAACTCACTGGTGAGGAGTTAATTAAGGACTTCTCACCCTCATACAAAAAGGTCAAATTAAGAAGTTGTACTGTTTTAATGTCTTATCAAAACTAAAGTCACATAGACAATGATAAAATATTAAACAATATTGACTAAAGAAATTACAAATATTACACATATATATATGCAGGACATATTTATATCACAACTAAGGTGAAAGAAAAATGCAGCATGACTAAGACTCAATCCAGAGACCCTCGGAATACATGTTCCATACCTCAGCATTACCAAAAAAACAACAGAACCCGTGAATACCATACTACAAGTCTATAGCTAAAACATTTTCTATCATCAATGCATTGACATAACCCCCACTATATTAAAATTTGTCCTTTTTCATTGGAACACTTAAGTGACAAAGTGAATTGACCACCATAGCTTCATATTGGACCCTTAAAGTAACAGGGTGAGAAAGTTCAGCCTGACTGGAGCTCAAACCTGTCATGCATTGAATACCATTCCACAGCTCTACCAACTGAGATATAAGGTTTCGTAATTACATATCCTCTCCCCTTATTATTGAACAACTAAATATACTGTGACATCCCTACCGTATTGAATTTTTTCCACAATTCATTTCATGAAGCTATCTATCACATTTTGCACCAAATATCACAGGGTAAAAAAATGTGCCGTTTGACCGGAATCAAACCTGAGATCATCAGAATATTTTACATGTATGTGGGCTGTATTGACTGAGGTATCTAGCTGGCATGTAATTAATCAATTATATAAACAATGCATACAACGACCCCATGCCGATTACAGGCAATTTAAAGAACAGGTATAGCTTTTCTTACTGTCTGGCTGGTTCGACCATTATGCTATCTGGAGGTGTCGTTTCCAAATGTACCTCAACCTCTGTAGACATTGTAGGTCAAGCAGTTTTATTCTCATAAACTTGAACGGGAAGCATAATTGCGCATTACCCAGGCATAATCGGTACAGTATCGGTTTTACCCGTAGCTTTACTATGGATAAATCGGTGATGGTCGGGATGGACCTTGTTTAAACCATGTCCAGTCGGGTCTCCACCGGGATCAACCGGAAAAACACCGGGTTAGCATCGGCACTTACTGTATATATCCGATGCTATATTAGGTACTGAACTGGTAATACACCTGGGCTCTGTCGGGGATTTGTAAACGCAATTTCATTTTTCAGAAAAACACCATGATACAAGCCGGTTCACCGACTTAAGACACCGTATCGATACTGTAGCCATTACCAGAATAGTGTAAATGTGGCTTAATGCTACACAACACATCATTTTACTATGATATATTATGTAACTTGTCAACATGACAGAATTTTATAGATAATTATATTAACAAAAAATAATTTTTATGATATATATAGCCAACAAAGAGAGAAAATGGAAGCTAGAAAAAAAGGAGGTTGAACTAATGGAGAAATTGTATATTTTATGAATTACTGCTAAATCAATGCCAAAATAAATCAAATGTTTATAATTTTGCTGTTCATGGCAATTTCTTTTGGGGTTTCAGTTTATTTTCTTAGGGGATTTTTTCTTTTTTTTCTGTTTTAGGGATGTAACTCATGTTTAGTAATTTGTTTGTTTTTATCTGTCTATCGTAGTCATTATGTATATAAACATAAAAATATATCTTTTATATTTATAATTTGAATGGAATTAGATGGAGAATTTACCAGTTTAAGAAGTTCATCAAATAGATGGAGGTCCATGAATGAATATTATCCATAGAACTATAATTTTTAGACTGGCTTTAAATACCTGTTAAACTTGGGTTTTCCAGTTGTTGCGGCTTGGAATTTTATATTTATTAAATTAAATTAAAACCTGGGTTAACTACGGAAGAGCATTAGTGCCAGATGTATGTTTTTTATTAACTCGAAATAGCGAGATACTAACTCGAAATTTCGACTTACTAACTCGAAATTTCGATTTAGTAACTCGAAATTTCGAGTTACTTATCTCGAAATTTCGAGTTACTCGAAATTTCGACATAATAACTCGAAATTTCGACTTAGTAACTCGAAATTTCGACTAACATTGCACGACTTTCATTAGTTGCCGGTGAAAGCAAAGATTGAATTCAAAATACTTTCTTTCGTGTGTAGCTGTTGCACATTGACAGAGCACCTTTAAAATTTATTTAACAGAACAAGTTAATAGGGTCAAATTGTTCACACATACTGAACATATACTTTTTGTGTAAGGGGGGGGGGGTGTACAATCACACTTTCCACATTTTCGTGTTAACCGGATGTTTCTTTTTCTAAAGCACACATACAACCATCATGTGGAGAAACAACAAGTTCAAAACCCACCATATTGTAAACTGTGCAATATACATGTGTTAAATAAGTTTAAAATAGTTAATCTGTCACGTTTCTTTATGCTTATAATGTTTTTGTAACATTATTTATTATTTACTAAGAATTTGATTCATATTGTGTTGATAAAAGTTGATAAAAGTGGAACTTGTTGTTATATATATGTTGGGAATAATAGTCAAATTTGACAAAGGCTTCAGCACGCCCTATTTTGGCCACGCCGCGATACTTTCCTCAGATGTCCCACACGTGAAGTATAGGATCGTTTT